ATGGTTAGGGGGGATATTGCCTCTGAATTAAAATTTTTCAGAAAAATATGTATTTTTTTAAAATATATGTTTATGGTAGTTTCTATAGACCTTTGCAAAAAGAGCGCTCTGGCCGCCGCCATTTTGCGAATCGAGCGACCCCTATCAGCCAGAAATTTCTGGCACCCGCCTGAGCTGTGGAAACCCGGTCAGGTTGACTTCCCACCTGCATTCTGCATTCGGAGTTCGCCGGCTTTTCTTGGAAGTCTTTCCTTTATTTGCCTGTTTAGGATGCTTACCCTTTGTATGTTATCTTCCACAGTGAGAACCAGGGAATACCAGGGCTCGTAGCCCGCTCGGCCTTCGCAGGAAACGAACGAACGGAGCGAACGTCAAACAGCCCGCGACGCAGGCAGTTCGACGTGCTTGGAGGATTATTTCCGTCGAGATAATCTCCAAAAAGCCTTCCAGGCTGTGTTCCGGGTCTTCGCAAAAACTAGCTGATAGGGTCGGGTCCGGGGTGTGGCGACAGAATAAGCACGTTCGTTCATTTGCTATGAAGCTCTGCAAAAAAAAGGAGCTCTCTTCTACATGTTCCCCAAAACACGCCAGATTCCGTCCGATTGTCGTGAAGTGACTATTGTCGACACTGTATATTGGACATGCTGTGTTATTTGAGACCTTTCTCAAATACTGTTCGGATAACGCGGCACCGAGGGGTACGTACAATATATTTTTTGTTCGATTGATGAGATTCATTGAATTTTATGTTGTGGGCGGGGAATATCCCTGCAGTACGGATATTCTGTGCGGTCAAATATTTTGACCTTTATAGATTGACACGGCTGAATTAACTGTGCCGTAAAACAATGAACATAAAATGAAACAAACATTCCAGTTGCATTTGTTCTGTCGCGCACGGACTCACCAAAACAGCTTTCATTTCTTTGTTTTTGCTCCCAAAAATAGAGAACTGCTTTCTTAAAGACCTCTATAAATTATGCTCGCCACAGAACACAAGATAAAAAAGAAAACGCGGCAATTCAGCCGCCACCAGCGTCCGGAATTGCGCCCAACGCAGGCTGCCACAGCCTACTGACGAGAAACTCCACAGCTCAGCGCAGTCGGGCAACACTGACGTACACTCTCAAAACCAGGGACACGCTCTGTAAATCGCTTCGTTCGAGACTGCCGCTGGAAAGGTCTATAGAATGGTTTTAGAAACTTTCATTTATAGGCACGCAGGATTTATCTTGCAAGAAATTATTTTCGACATGTCGGCTGCCCTCCAAGTCAGCAGGGAGCAAGTTTTTTGCGCTTTCTATTTAGCGGTGCTTCATACTCGTTTAATATAGCCAGAACATCTCTCCCTCATTGGAAGCACCATTTACTTTAGATTTAGCCAGTAGAAGCTTTGGAAGTTTAATGTTATCAATGGCCAGGAGTACCCTAAACATCCAAACAGAAAAAAACCAGAAAATTTGGTATGAGCAATCTTGTTGGTTGAGACCCGAAACAGGGTTTATGATTGGTCCTGCCCGATGCAGTAATATTGTGCCATCTTTAGTAACACCTTTTCATAGTATTTTCCACTACCGATCACATTCCTGCTTTGCTGCTCTTCCTTAGTATGATTTGCCTCTTAGTTCTTGCCAGTTTCAAGGAATGCCTGCTGCCAAAGATAGCTTGCCTACAAAGGACACAAACTGGTAGCTGTTGCCGGGGGAACAACAAAGTCTCCAAGAGGAAGGTGCTAACAGTGCTCCAGGTGAATTTCGCCTACCTTGGACTCGTAGAAAAAAAAGAAAACCTGAAGTTAAAATTTGAAATGCATTTTTCCTCAGTTTCAATTTTTGGCCGGAAATGTGGTATGAGGAAATGTATCATTTGTTATTTCAAAAGTGTAAAGATTTCATTCAGTGGTGTTCTGAACTGAAATATCCTGAGGAACAAGTTAAGCTACTCATAATCTGAAAAAGCTAAATTCTTCGTGACAAAATCTGAATATTTTATAACATAAAATTGGTTAAAATCTTTTGCTCTTTTTGGGTGTTATTGGTTTTCTCTAGAATTGCATTTTCTCCACTTAATTTTTAGCTTAACTTGCACTATGGGTATTCTATTTCACATTAAACCAAACATTTTGTAGATTACAATATTTTTTTTTAAATACATTTCCTAATAAAGTAACTTTTCTTTGGAGCTTGTTAAGCACAGTATGTTGTAGAGTGGGCCTACGAGACTTTAGATGTCATCAATCCTAATGGGGATTGATGACATCTAAAGGCCATGTACCCCCTCAAGAAATGTGGTGGAACATCAGGAACTCTAAAACATTGGAGTTGCTCATCCTCTTTAGCGAAGTATTTGTGTTCTTCAAGAATGCATATTTCTTCTTTGGACAATCGTGACATGCGATTGCTCGGTTAAAGGCAACGACAAAGGGAATCGCTTGTGCTTCACTGGGCACGATGTAGATTGGAACGTGACCAGTTGCTTGGTCTACCGTAATGCTGGCTTCTCTAATTCCACACGGTAGAACTTGACCGGAACCATAGCCTTTGATTCTTCCTCCTTGGCATGGCTCTCTGTAGTCAATGCCCAAACCATCGGCGTCTATCTTGCGCAGTGCGATGCATTGACTTCCAATATCAGTGTAGGCACGGATAGGCTTGCCGTCTCTGGGTGCGTCTTGAAACTGCTTCTTGTTACATTCATTCCCTTGCCATTTGCTTTCAATGTGGTGATCTCTGACAATCCTGCTTCTGCAGGCATTTCCTTTGTAGTCCGCTTTTTATGACCCATTCGAATGCACTCGTTGCAGCAATCTTGTTTCTGTGGCTGACTGCAACTCGCAGACATGTATCCATACTGGTCGCACTTGAAACAATGCAGCTCACCACTGGAGCTTAAGGCCGGCTGTCGCTTGGCAGCCCTTTGGCCACATCGGTTGCTGGACGGAATATTGTTTGGCGTCCCAGGTACAGATGTCGGGTGTGTTCACTTGGAGGCCCTTTCAATAACGAGTCGGTTGTCCAGACGTTTAGGGCACTTTAACAGAGACTCTGGAGTGGCAAACTTGGCGGTGCTCAGACTCCAAACGAGAGGTTCGTCGTTGACTCCTGCGATGATATGGTCAACGACCTTATCTTTGGGAAGTTGACGTAGGCACACAAGGCTGACCTTCTTATGGAAACACTGTTCTATGGTTTCGTTGCCATTTTTCACCTGGCTTCCATCTTGGTGGTGGCACTGTAAGCTTATACCAGGAAGGAAAGCCTTCTTCAGCTCAGTCTTCCATTCAGGCCACAAACACTTTACACTGTTGAAACCGTCGTACCATACTTTCGCTGTTCATTCTAGCTTGGTCAACACGCAAGATGCCGTCTGTCTCTCATTGCGCGAGTACATCGCTGATAGTTGGTCAACTTTTCTCGTCCATTCCTCGACTATTTGCACCGGATCGGTCACTGGGTCGTAGACTGGTACTACCAGCTTACTGGAGTCCATAGGGGGTCTTTGGTCATGCATGGGAGGGGCTGCAGAACCTAGCAGATCAGCCATTCCAACGGTCGCGCTTTGCACAGCGGCTTGCACAGCCTCGAGCACAAGGTACTGGAATCCGGGATCGCCGATCGGTGACTGCAGTCGATTGCGGATTGTGGGCGGGAGGTTTGTCGGGATGGCTCGTCGTCGCCGGTTGCCGTCGGTGCCCGGTCTTCCCGCTGCCACTTTGCTGTGGCTCGTGGTCGCGCCGTTGCTACCGGAATCGTTTATGCTCCCCTCTATTCCTGCTTTTGCAGCGAATTGAATCTGGGGAGGGCCCACTGCCGCAGCCTGCTTTGGTTCCCCTCTGCAACCTTTCTTCGTTCTCTTGTATCGAGGTTAAGGGAGGACACTACCTGGGCATGTCTACTTTTGAACTGCTTACTCAATCGGCGTGATATTTGCGGGTGGTGTTTGTAGCCATGTACAAGGAGGGCACGCAAAGTTTCAGCCCTGTGAACCAATTTTGTGAGGTTCTAACGAAGCTTTGTATGAAATCTGCTCAATGAATCTATCGTTGAGAAATGGTGTTGATCACCACATATTTTTCTTTCTGGTAGAATGCATGCTGGAACACTTGTTGTCGGTTACTATAAAAAAAATATTTAAAAAATGAAGTTTTCGAATAAAAAAAATGTATAAAAGTTTTTGTTTTTTTTACGTTTGCCAAGTTTTGCAAATTACAATTTTTCATTACAAAAGAACATCAATAAAATTTCGGCATATAATCCGCAAACATTAAGTCTCTCGGTGGTTTCATACTGAAACAATAGTTTTATTAAGTGGGATTTACTGCCAAAAAGTGAAGCTGAAATAAATGCACTTAAAGTTTCAAGATGACGTATTCAAAATTTGTTTTGCATCTTAACTGTCAGAAATTCTTTCCAGCACTGTAGGTGTTGTCTTCCTCAAACTTCTTCAGATGTACTGACATTGCTTTCAGCTATTTTCACTTGTGGATGACGAGTGCTATGCAGTGCAGCACACCTCACCAACATATAAAGAATAATTATTTTTGGCATTGTTTGTCAGTGCACATTGACAAGACTTTGTGAGAGTGTTCCTTGTTATCCATACATGCCAAAACTCTCCAGTTCTGAATATGCAATTTTTAAAAAAATGTGCAATTCAAAGTAGTGTCCCCCTTTAATGCTCCGGTGCCATGATGCGGCAGTCTTTCTGCTGCAGGCTGTGGTCGCCGGATGCCACTTTTAAGATGTTTGGACCTCGATGACGGACGTGGAGGCTGAATGAGTGAAAGGAAAACGTTTAATGTGCAACGGGCACGTACGCCTGCCAAAGAAATGACTGGTGCGCCACGCAAATCCTGGCACGTACGCTGCACAATTTCTTTGTCCTTTTTCATGATGGCGCTAACGGCCGTTTGAGCTTCCTGGCATCATACGAATGACAAGTGACGAGGCTACGAAAACTGAAGAAAACAAACGTTTAATGGGACAAACTTGTGCCCAAAACAAAATGGGAACAGAAGATAACATTAGAGCATTGCGGGCGTCGATGGCGGTGTAACAGCAGGACTGCACGCTGAGGCGAGGCTGACTTCGGCTTGCCACGCGGAGCCCCTTTTGTACATGCGTTGGCTTCTAAGTTCTGGAACATTCGGCATAAAAGTTTCGGCTCATAGAACATTCTAACCTCGAATCAGTCAGAGGGTTCTCGAATTTACCAGAACGTCACATTACAAAGTCAACAAAAATGTGTAGCTGCGGCCAGGAATCGAACCCTGTCCTTCTGCGTGGAAGGCAAGCGCGATGACTGTTAGGCCATGGGCGCGCTGCCTACTTAGTCAGCTGCAGGCGCAGCAATATCTAAAGCTCGGGATGTTACATTTTCGAGTAGTAACCAGATTTTGTATTGTTTCTTTTAAGGCGTTAAAGTATAAGAGTAAACAATGATCAAATTTCAAGAAAACAGATTGTGCGGATGCATGAGTGTCTTCCTTTTTGCGTACTTGCACAAAATGTGTGTCTGCTATTGTGCGCCGTAATGTCAAGATTATAAAGAACCGCAGTCTTACCAGCTTCATAACCAGTACGTCGGGCCCTGTCACGCATTTACTCTTGAAGCCAGTCTTTCTCCACACGTCGAGTGTGGACCTTCGGTGTCTGCATCCAACTCTTTGTTACCCCCTGAAATCAAGGCCTTGTTTAGTGACTCCCTTCGTTGCTCACGTAAAAAGAAGATACAGAGTGGCTGAATGACCAGAGCGTTAGCACCCCGTCTCTATCTTTGTCGGGGAAGGAATTCTATTACCTAGGTACAAGTTCAAGGAGACAATTGCAGAGATCTCGAATTTTTCTTTTAATGTGTCAAAGTAGAAGAGTAAACGACGAGAAAATAAAAAAAAATTCAGACGTTTACAAATCTGTGATGCGAAATTAGAGCGCTGCTCTTGGGGTACTTTGATTTTGCGAGATATCATGCTAAAGAATTTGAGGAAGAAATATCTATATGTACAAACATACTCCTGTGTACATAACATAAATTATGTATATATTTTATTTGTATATTTTTTAAAATATATATATATGTTTACATAAATATATATTCCACTTATTACACCCTTAAAGTGCCCGTAGGGCTTTACATAAGGGGAGAGAACTAGAACATTATTCAAAACACAAACATAAAAGAAATAAAACAAGAAAACAGGTGTTTTGCTGCTATGCGTTTAGGTAAGTGGTAAGAGAAGTTCTGGAACCAGGGGATTCTTCGATGATTACAATATTATCAGGAATGGAGTTCCATTCATATGTAGCTAATAGACGTAATGGTGAGAATTTAAAAAGGTTTGTGGAGTGTTTAAATGAAGTTTTTGCAAATTGTCAGTACGGCGCAAAAATATAAAAGAAATAAATTATTTATTATATTCGTATAAAGAGGAGGAGGGCAGGGTACGGAGGACCCTCCCCTCCTCCTCTCTTTCCTCTATACCCTCCCCTGCTCTCACAGGTTTCCCCGCTAAATTTAGCGGGGAAAATGACGTCACATGATTTGTTCATAGGTGTCATGTCACCTACGAACGAATTAGTTTTTCGGCTAGATTTAGTGGGAAAACTGAACTTGTGTTGAGGTCATGTGACGTCAGTTTTACCGTCAAACTTAGCGGGGAGACTGAATGCACAGTGTTGGATTATAGGACGTCACAGACGTACGGACCAATTCGCTAAATTTAGTAAGGAATTGAATGGGTGTATGGGCCTGTGACGTCTCATAATGCAACGCGCGCGGTTACGTTGACGGCGACGCTGACGCCGCGAAATGCAGAAACAAGCGCCTGAGAGCTGCGCTCTAAAAACAGACTTGTTAGCCAGCGCTGTATCAGTGCCCTCCATTTTGTGTGCTTATGCAAATTGTGTGTCTGTTTTTAATTTCCGTCACATCAGAAGATGATGCTTACCTTCCAAATTGATGAAGCGGCGCGAATGAGCCTGTCGTGTCCTCCTCCCTCACTTCACCCCCTCCGCTTCGGGCAGAGAACTGCAAGAAGACAACACACCCGTGTTGTCTTCTTTGGGTCCCCCCTTTTCCTGCTTTGCTACCCGCCAGTCCACAGGAGGATTTTCTGCCTGACAGTAGAGGCTTGGACAGGTTTAGGACCTATTAAAGGGTCGCTGACAAGGTATTTATACTCACCGAGGTTTTTATTTGTACATGACACACGAGATCTTAACTACCCAGAACACAACTTGTGGCTCGAAATTCGTTTTCTTTCCGCCTGAAAACAGCCGATCGAGAACTGGCCGGTTTGAGTTGCGCTCACTCTTTTCTCTCTGGTCATGCGCCATTTTCTATGGTTTAGACACAACCACCAAATATGATAAAAGTTGTTTATCATCGAACGCACACGCTCAATATTAAAAATAGAAAAAGAAATATCGTACCGATTTTGTATGGCTCCTAAACAGCTGCAAATACATTAATTGAAAAAGAAAAAAAAGTTTGCACAGCCACGTGACTTTTGGCAACACTCTCCTCCTCTATATTTATTCTTCCTCCCCAGTCCATTTTTGATGTTGAGCAGTTGCATTTTTTAGCTTTACTAAAAATATATGTGACGCTGTAGCAAAATATTGATTGGGTAGTCTTCTGACAATCATTATAAATTGCCTGGCAAAAGAAAAAAAAAACATTTACACATTTTTGGGGAGTGTCAGTGTCCCATGTATAGTGCAGTGCTCACTTGACATTTTGGACACAGCACTGACTTGGTGCTACATCAGTGCTGTATCACTGCACAGCCAGAGCGCACTACCTTTGTGCTCTATCCACGCTGTATTAGCACTCTGCTGCACGTGATCCGGCCTTTTCCAGTTTTTGTACACAGTGTAGCGCTGGGTTGATTTTCTGCTGTTTCCCCAGTGCGCTGCATCTGTGAACCAGGCTTTGGGGGCGAAGCCGAGCTTGTTTCACGTCGGTTTTCTTCTTTTTGACAGTGGGATCCTGTACGTTCGTCAGCAGAAGTTTGTTCGGGGCCAGCGGCCCGACGCAGGTTTCGTCTTCCACGCACACAATGTAGAGGTTGCGGAGGAACAGTGTGCCACAGTCGACGTCTCGGCCAAAATGGTACCTGTGCCCTTGCTCTTCACCGCGGGTCTCCCGTCTACATTCTTTGAGTTTTCCTTCAAATGGTCGGCATGGTGGTCATGCAACCTGGCAGCAAACACTTGCCTCGGCTCATGAACTGCCACGAGCGAGGCTAAACGGGTCGTTAAGCATTTTTAGAAAATTCTGAGCTACCGTGTTTACTCGCATAATGAACACACTTTTTTCCCCGAAAAAATGACACATTTGGGGGGGGGGGCATTCGTTACGCGTGGTAAAATGTTTGCATTTACACACCTTATGCAAATGTCACATTAGGTGCCAATATGACACGGCAAGGTACTGGACACGACTCTTCAGTGATGGAGGCGCACCCAAGGCTGGTCGGGGGCGCGCCACAGTAACCGTGCTTTATAAATTGCGAACCTTTTTGGGGTGCTTTTAGCGTGCCTTTTGCTGAAAGAAAAGCGCCCTACGAAGCTCACTTAGCACAGAAAGCAACGTGACGGCTCTTAGGTGATATATATCGCTAGTATCCAGCGGCACACTTGGGTATATACCGCTTGACTGCATGTAAAAAAACTCGTACGAAGTCCAACCGCCAAGGCCCACTCCCAAGCATCAAGTTTCGTTCACGGAGACGGCTGCTACCAGACACTCTCAACCCACGACACAGTGTTCACCTTGCTGCGCCGTTCTGTTACGGATGAAATAAAGGCATTTACCTGAAATATGTGGAATTAGGCCTAACCACTTTCGCGATTTCACTGTCCGAAAGCGGTCCACAGATGACGGCGTGTTTGTTGACATCAATGCATCCGATGGGCAAAGAATGTCCGGGGCTAGGTCATTCCTTGACCCAAGCTTTGTCGAGTGTGCGCGCCGCTTGGTTTCACAATTGATCACTTCCGCAACTACCACAACTACGCAGTTGCAGCCATTACGAGAGCGGCTTGGCTTGGCTTGGCCTGACCGCTTCGTGGCAAAAGAAAATTGGCTTGGTGGCTTGCTAATTCAGATGTGATTCGAAACTCGTGGAGTGGAAAATTGAAAATGCGTTGATTACGCGAGGGAAAAAAAAAAAAAAAAGTCACAATATTGGTACCCGCTGTGGGGGGTGCATTCATTATGCAAGTGTGTTCATTATGCAAATAAATGGGGTATACTTTTTGTGTGAGGCTTAAAAATTTTGTGCTGTACAAAAGGCATCTACATTAACTTTTTATTTAAAATTCTTTTTATTCATGTTCCACCCATTGAAAACCCAATGAAAGTGCCAAAGCACTTATCTCGCCACATTGCCATCTTCTTTTGCTAGATAAAGTCTATCCGCTATAGTCACCGTCACCATGGCAACTAAGCGTCTCCTGAATGGACAGATATGCAAAGGCAGAGTTTGAAGCCAGCAATAGCTAATGCTGTTTTCCGAACATCGTCTGCTGAGATCAATGGGGCATCGATAGCTTGGGGCTCCAAGCTAGGTTTCGTAACAGGCCGTGCGACGTGCAGATTTTGATTTGGGGTGGTTAGGGAAAAGACTAAAAAATGAAGTTACCCCGTCTGCTTCTGCATTAGCACCACAGCACTGCACACCCTGAGCAAAGTAAAGCCAGGGCTGGCTGTAGTGCTGAAAAAGGGCCAAAAAGTCAGTATATTGAATCGAATATGAAAACCAAAAAGTTTATCCTCACTATTCACAGAGGTAAACACAAACGTTGCGTAATGAGAAAAGAGCCCTTCACGTTCACTCTCATGCAGTGCACACAGAACGAAGAGAAGCTGGCATGAGTATAAATGGCGTTAATTACCACGCTTAAATGACAAACTTAAGACATAGCCGACGGATGTGTCCATTTATTCCCATGCGGATCGCAGCCTTCTGGATAAATGGACGGGTGTGACTGAACCGTTTCAGTCGCGTGACGTCTTGCGTCACCTATCCCTGAGACCTTGCTTGATACCGCGTGGAGCGACAGGTTAGGAGAAGAGAGCGGTTTAGCTATGGCTGTAATTTGTGGTTTGATTATAACTTCTCATAGTATGGACGTAACAACAGAGAATGCCCTAGGTTTGTAGTGCACAAAGCCGACTGAAGGTGACGCGGCATATCGAAAATTAAATCAAAAAGTGCAATGTGCGTAGTTTTCGGGTTTTCGTCGAGCACAGCCAAGAAATTTGGAGCATGCCTGCTTCCTTCAAGAAAAACGGGAAACAAATTACTTTCTGACAAAATTGTTTCAGTCAAAGCTGTGGAATGCAGGCTTTATTCAGATCCAACACAAGCCTGCTAGGACTATTTCACTTACGAACAGCGCCCCTGAATATACCTGAATTTGGCCAACAGTGCTAATATTCGACGGAGGGAATTGTTTGAAAACTTGAATACTAGGAATCTGGAAGTGAAATCGAATTATTTCGGCAATTTTTATTCGATTGCAATTTGAAACTGCATTCGCACACCTCTAATTATAATCTCGGGCTCAAGCTTCCGCCGAGCCCCGTTCAAACTGCCGAGGGTTTCGTAAGCGACCACTTTTTGTTTTTAGCTTCGTCCCCCGTATTGGCGCATTCGGCTTTGGCTAGCATCGCCACAATGACTTTAGCAAAAGGCATTCGGAAAATGTTGTCCATTGTTGCTGGCTTCAGACTCTGCATTCTCGGGTGTGTCTTTTAGCAGGCGCTCCTTTGTCACGGTGATTCTAGCAGACATAGATTAATGTGTGGAAGAAGATGACGGTGAAGCGAGATCAGACGCTCACTTGGGCTCTTTTGCCATGTCTTTCAATGGGCGGAATAAAACAAAAAGAGTTTTAAATAACGACTTATTGCAGATGGCCGATTTTCTCCGGCGCATAGTATATTTATGAGCCTCGTGCGTGAAGCACGTGTTTTGCTCAAAATTTGGTCTACCGTATTTACTCGCACAATGAACGCACTTGCGTAATAAACGCACCCCCCCAAGTCGGCTCTCAAAATTTGGCCTTTTTTTTTCACTCGCGTAATAAACGCGCGCGAAATGAACACTTTTTTCTATCCTGGTGCAGCGAGGTCGCAAATGCATGGGCAGCGTGGGCAAACAAAACGCCTTGCAAAAGGCGTTAAAAAAATTAAAAAATATCCAACGGAAGCAAGAAAAAAAAAAAAACGTGGAGAGAAGCTTTCTTTTTTGCACAGCGCAGTCTGGACTTTGGGTTTGCGCGCCGCCGCGCGCAAGGAGGCAAGAAAGAGAAGCGGAGAAGTGCTCTAAGCGAATGAAACAGCTTGCAAAAGGTGAAAAAAGAAAAGAAAAACCACGGAACTAAGAGAAAACAAACGCAAAGAGGAGCTTTTTTTTTCTTCTTTTTCTTTGCACAGCGCAGTTTGGTTACGGGTGTCGCGTGGAAGGAGGTAAGAAAGAGGAGCAGAGTGTAGTGTTGTTTGTTACCGTCAGGTGTCGCTCTTAACACGATTCTAACATACTATCATAGAGGGCGCTGCCTCACTGTTACGTTTGTATATATGTCGTGAATAAAGACTGCCACGGGTCTTTGCCCATCCGGCCCAGTTCACACTGTCTGGTCCCGGTCTCTACACAGAGAAGCCCTCTAAGCAAACGAAACAGCAAGGCGACAAAAAGAAAAGAAAAAAAAAAACCCATAAAATTGAAAAAAAAAAGCTTTTTTTTTTTTTTTTTTTTTTGCACAGTGCAGTTTGGTTGCGGGGAGGGGGGGGGGGGGGGGGTCGCGCATTGCGCGCAAAAAAATAAGAAAAATAAACAAAACAGCTTGCGAAAGGCGGCAAAAAAAAAAAAAAAACCAAGGAACTAAGAGAAAAAGAAAATAAAGAAAAGCTTTTTTTCTTTTTTTGCACAGCTTAGTTTGGTTATGGGGTCGGGCGCTGCGCGCAAAAAGATAATAATTTACTTCGATTTTTCAGGATAAAAGGTCCGTTCATTATGCGAGTAAATAGAACGCAAAAATTTTACTTCGCGTAATGAACGCCCCCCCCAACTCTGCATCGATTTTTTGGAAAAAAAAGTGTGTTCATTCTGCGAGTAAATACGGCAAGTTTTTTCCGTGGCAACACGAGGCCGAAGTACCGATGTGAACATTTTATGTGGTGGAGTTTTTTGCTGTTGGTGTTTGAAGTTAATTTCTTTGTTTGTTTAGTTTACCTCAAAGTTCTTTAGAAGGGAGTGTTCTGCCCAGCACAATTCACACCACACTTGAAATGATGCATTTTGCACTTATTCTGTCTTTATGTTTTGGCAGAGGAAGGAGTTTGAAGAGTTCTGGGAAAGCCACAAGTCCTGCCCCCTGGTGGGAAGAAACCTGATTCTGGCCAGCGTCTGTCCGCAGGTCTACGGACTGTTTCTGGTGAAGCTGGCGGTGGCTCTGATCCTCGCCGGCGGCGTCCGGGTGCGTCTTCCCTCCGTCTCTCTGTAGGCACTCGGCTTAGATGGCGGGTCGGGGGCTCCCCAAGCTTTCTTTGGAATTCGCCTGGCCGTCCCCACCCCTAAGTAAAGCGTCAGTTTGCTCTGCTCTTGGCTTCCTTTCCCCGGGGCCGCGTTGCGCCAATTCGGGAGCCGTCTTCCGACCGGAGCGTGTCTTGTTAGGGAATGGCAGCCATCTTGTCCGTCTACTCTCGCCTCTCCTACGCCCATGTCCCCGCCCCTGTGTCCCCCTCATTCGACGGGACGTAGGGAACTCCGGTGGGCTTGCTTTCCTGAGTGCGGAGCTGGAGCGGGCCGGAGTTGCCGGCGAGAGAGAAAGAAAGCACGTCCGCCGTCCGGTCTCGGGGACCGTTAATGAGGCAACAATTACAAGTTGTGACATCTCGTCCGGTTGAGCACACGTACGACAGTCACCCGGGAACAAGCCAAGAGTAAGCCTACTCTTGGCTTCTTCTATTTTATTTTTTTCTACGTGCGCATGCATAGCTGGTGCTAGCCCTAAGCTATTTCTCTTTGTGTCCCACTATGTCCGTAGCATATCTTCAGTTCACAGAAATATGCCCAGTTCTTTCATATTTTATCCTTTTTCTGCCCACAGATGTTCCGTATAAGTTTGACGAGCACTGTACTAACACTACCGTCAAGGGGTCAAAAGATAATTCTTCGTATTATCGGCCCCACATAGAATTCAATCTTTTCTATGTAGTCCATGGGCTACGTACATAAAAACTACCGTTTTCCGGAAGAATTGGGGCAATATCAGCATTATTGCTCGTGCACCTCTAATCACTGGCAAGCAGCCCTTCCTCTTTGGCCCAATCATACCTGGCACCTTTTGACTCTATTTACCTTCTCTCCGTCGCGGGTGAAGAAGTGCGGCACAAGCTCCTCCCTCCAAGCGCTCCCTATGATTGGCGGTTTCCTCCTCTCCCTCTGCTAAAGTGGAAAGAGTGGAGGGCTTTGTGGGAGGAGCTTGTAATATCGCATCCTTGTAGGCTCTTGTGCACAGCCCTTCGGTTTTCAATCCGCGTTGGAAGATGAAGCCGCCCTCGACGCAGGCAGGCTCACTCTCGAGCACCCGAGCAGAGTTCAGAGCGGGTGTTTTCCTTTCTCGGAACCGGCTGGCTGCTTCTGGGTGGTGTGGGCGGCAGCGTTCCGACGAGAGCGGAACTAAGATTCGCGGGGAGTCGCACTTGCTTCTCGTGGGCGATCCAGGTGAGTCCCGGCGTCTGCAAAAAAAGACGGGGAAGAAAGGTTAAATGGCGGCTTTTGTCGTTGCTTCATCGCATCTGTAAAGCATGTAACCGAGCTTGGAACGTCGTTTAAATTTCGTAAAAGTTGTTTGCTTATCGTTATATCCAGAGAGATGCCCAACCCCCAAAAGATAACTCGCCCCTTATTTTTGGCACGATTTGCTATCTTTTCGAAAACATTGAAAGATAGCCCTTTCTGGTAACTGTGGGGCCCTGGCTACCTCAGCAGAAATGATGTTACTTAGCCAAGATGGGAGCGAACAGTGGGTTCGTTTGATTTGCCTGCACTTGCACCGGTGCAGAAAAGTGTAGGGCAGTGTACTTCCGGTATGTGTATTGAGATAGGACCGGTAGTACACCGCCCTACACTTCTCTGCATTGGTGCAGGTAAATCAAACGAAGATATCGGTGGTTGGGAAGGACCTTGGCTCATTGCCCCTCCCTGTAATCGCAAGTTTTGCAGGTCACAGAATCTAAAACTAGCATTTTTTCACCTTTTTTGATCGCACACTGAAAGTTAGCTTACTCTTTATTTTTACCCGATTTGCTTTCGATTTTAGGTGGGCTATCTCGGGATATTAGGGTAGTTTGTTAACAGTATCAACATGGGGCCGTGGGTTGCCAACCTCTGGTATATACAGCTAAACCTCGTTATAACAAAGTGGGATATAACAAACCAATGGATATAACAAAGCAATCATAATTCCCCTTGCTTGCTAATAGTGGGAAATGAACATTGGCTATAACAAACTAATGGTTATAACGAAATAATTACGACCGCTCCTTGATCTTTGTTATAAGGAGGCTTTACTGTAGTATAAAAGGTGGCAATTCTGGAAAAGCGGGCTGGAGAGTGCACCGTAAAAATCGGCACCTGCACGCGGAGAGCTCAACTTTCCATTGAAGGTGTTTTAGTGGTGGTGTCTCCCTCGTGTAATTTCGAGACGTAGCTCCATCCCCGCAAAAATTTAGGATAAAATTCTTGCCTTTTGCAATGTGGGACTGCGATCCGGGCGACTCAGTTATACGAGAGTTGCGCTCGCGGCACCATCTTCCGATACTCCCATTTTCGTGTCCATCACTCGATTCCCAATGGGTGCAGCGAGCACCCGGTAGAAAGCAAGCGGCGCCATCATCCGCTTGCCGTTTCTGCAGAGAAACGGCAGAAGGAGCCCTACTCGTGCCACTCTGTCGTCTGCATTGGAAGCTGTCTTTGAAAACGTCGTAACGACATTTTTAACGTTGCATAGAAACGGAGCTATACGTCGAAAGTTCACGAGGTGAAAGCCATCTACGTGCCGGCGCCGTTCTTCTCTGGCACGTTTTATAGCCTGCCCTTTCGTTAGTGTCACCCTATAGACTGACACGCGGCGCGGCTCTGTTTACCAACAAGGCGGGAAGGCGGCGCATGCGCAGAAGCTCTGCGGGCAGAAGCGGCCAGGCTCTCCTTGTTTTCGCCATTGCATTGTGTGGCATGCACTCGTTGGTGGCGTAGAGACGCTTCTAGCTTCATTTGTGCGTCGTATTTCCGGCCAGCGTATGTCGTACGTTATGCCCGACTATTTGAGCTCGCAACCCGAGCCTGAACGGCAGCGGTCTCGAGACAAACTGCACGTGGACGGCGTTGCCTTGGACGATCCGTAAGCCGTAAACAAGGCCTGCTGGAGTTCCGACGTGAAGTTCTTGCCACCGACGTCGATGGCTTGCGTCGTTGTTTATTTTGTTTTTTCGCCAAGCCAGTTCACGGCTGACTGTAGACGTACAAGTCTCTCAAGGCCTACAATTACTTCGAGCTAGTTTCTGCGCTGCTGGCGGGATCAGCAGACTGCGGGTGTGTGGAAGCATATTTATTAATCGCTTAAATACGCGGAGTGTCCTTCGAGTCAAGGTGCAATATCTTTCTTACCCTCTTGACAACAGACACGACAAGTGGTAGTGCTTTGTCCGTTTTGTCGCCAATCTCTTTCCGCTTGGTAGCACGCGCATAGCCAGCCACCGACGAGCACTTAGCCGGTGCTTTGTGAACGAACACCGTGGGAACAAAATCTGGGTGGCCTCGATCATACGACAGTTTCCCTGCACATAAGCGAGTCTTGGGACGGATATTGAAATGAAAGCCACACTTGCCTTCGAGAAAGGCTTGCCGCACAAACGGTCGTTCGCGTGAGGCGACCATTCTTTTCGATCCACGGATATTATCCACCTTCTGCACCTTTCAGAGTTTGCCAAGAACTCGTGGAAGCACACTGCGCTACTTTTGCTGCACCTTTCGGCGCAATTAGCAGCTTCACAGCTTTACGGCATGCCGAAATGCTACGGCACCCAAGGAAAACGTGTGCCCTTCTGCCCACACCATCTGGCACCAACGCAATCGCAGCTCCGTCACAGCTCCGCGACATGAAGCCCGCGTGTCGGTCTATATTGTTATCTAAACTGTGCGGCTCTACGTAGCAGCACGTAGGCGGTTAGATGCATAGAAATATGCCAAGTGGATGAAACCTAAAATTAACTGGACGAATGGAGCGGACAATTCCGGATTGCGGTGCAGGCACGGCCAAGTCGCAGTTCCTCAAGTATGCTGCCAAGATGAGTTCCAGGTCGGTGCTCACCACGGGCATCGGGAGCACGAGCGCGGGCCTCACCGCAGCCGCCGTAAAAGTGAGTCCCAGGTGTGCCAAAGACACAGACAACACCGTCTTAGACATGGTCCTTCGTGTTTTCGTGTCTCCGGTTTTATTATGTTGTATTCACCAGCTCGCCTGTGCCCTAACTCTTCTTCCAGGTGCACCGAGAAGCATCGCCAGCAGGGAGGTCGGGCAAGCAGGGTTTCCTTAGGGCCTAACTTTCAGAAGGGTTTGGATTTGGGCTAGTTTATTTATTTATTTTTTTCGGAATACTGCAGGCCAATTGTGGCCCAAGCAGGATTGGGGGTTACAAAAGTGGAGTCAAAAAAGCGCAACACCAGTAATCCGTAAAACGGGAGAGGGGAACAGGGGAAAATTATGCAAAAATTGTAATAAAGCACATGTAATAGCTCACAACAAAGTTGGGAGGGGTGGCAGTAGTGGGGAACAGGAAAATAAAACACAATGCAAAGAGTTACACATCAAACAAACGCTCAATCGACTCCAAAACATTTTCAGATATAAATATGTGATGAGGTAGGTTGTTCCATTCTGTTATGGTTCTGGGAAAGAAGGAGTATTTAAATGCATTTGTTCGAACGAATACTGGAGTTATTTTATGCGGATAGTCATGCCTTGTGCGCCTAGTCGAGGATGGGTGAAGAAAGGACGACGATTCAAGCCGGAGTTTTTTAAACCAGAGTTGATAAAGAAATTTTAGTCTAGCTACCTTCCTTCGTGATTCGAGAGAGATGATGTTGTTACTTTGAATTAAGGCATGTTGGAGATTTTCAAAACTAGTGCCTCGGGCTTGAATTTCACAAGTGAGAACCCGGTGGAGGGTGGTTTGCAGTTTTTAGATCTGAAGTTGGCACTTCTCCCGTCGCATTTCTGTTGGGCTTACTGTCCTAGGGTGAAAAAAGGTGTTTTGCCTTATGACTCTTACCACTCCCAGATTATTAAGAGGGGGATAGCCACAACTGGCCTGAACGCGGCTTGTCAGCACAGCGTAGCCGACAGCTTCGGGTTACAAGTGAGGGGGCTGGAGGAGGGAGGTTTCCCCTGTGAGATCATTAAGGGGGTGGTAGAGGGCTTGCTGAAGAAGTTTCGTGGAGAAGGGAAGAGAGGGGCAAGCCAGATAAGAGACCAGTGGTGATACCATATATACACAACGTTAGCCATAACATCAAAAAGGTGGGGGAAAAGCGTGGCATTTTGGTTCTCCTTTCAGCCCCACAGAAATTAAGCGAGCTATGTGGGAGGGTGGAACGGGGTGACACACGGGTGGATATTTGTCAGAAAATGCACGCAACAAAATACGTAGGATGCAGAGTGGGGGGTTGTGTACAGAATTCCTCTGTCATGTGGGAGGGTATACGTGGGGCAGTCGGGCCGATGCGTGATCGAAAGACTGAGGGAACATGCCTTGTCATTGAGGTCAGCCCCCTCTGGTAATCTCGCAGTGCATTGCAATAGGTGTGAGTGTTTACCCTATTTAGACAACACCGTCATCTTGGCACGAAACAAAAATAGAAAGACAAGGGAGATAACGGAAGCGTTTTTTATTTCCGAGTGTGACGAGGGTATGTGTGTAAGTGCCCCATCGATAACCCTGTTTGAATCGGAGTTATCGTTTTTACGATCATTCACGGTGTAAGAGTACGAAATGTGATAAGCAATGGTTGGAACTGATCCGGATGTGTGTCTTGTTGGTTTGGGGTATGTGTGTTTTTTTCAATAATAAACCAGTTGCAAGTAGTGCTCTGTGGTGTGTGTCTGTCCTACTCGTCCGTCGAATTTAGCGCTTTTAACCCCTAAGCCTAACTTTCGCTTGGAGTTGCTAGAGGCCGGGTGACGGATGGGCTGGAGACTGGGTTCAGACTACAAGGAGATGATTATTTAATGAGACACGAGATTTGAAGGCAGTGTCGGAAGTCCCATTCTGTCTCTGCCGCACATTCTTATGTAGGCGCGGTGACGTTGCAACATTTGCGTCGTGATGAGAAACGGCCAAAAATACGAGGACACTGAGGAGAGAATGCACAAAAACCTCCGTGCTGTTTTTCATCGTAAATGTATACCAACTAGCCCAACTGTGCATTCTACAGTCAAACTTGTTTGTGACGAACTCCGTCGGACAATGATTTTAGTTCGACATATCCCGTAATTCGCTATATCAAAACTGGGCCTACTGCAATTTTGAGTGCTGTGCTTTGTAATGAATGATTCTTTTTTTGACATTACGGTAAACACGCGTTAACACATTCTTTGGTGGACCGCGGAAAACATTAGTGACCCGCGAAGTGATAATGCTCTAGGCGGGCTAACAGCTGGAACAAAAAGTAGCTTTTGGACTGTTTATTCTGTGACAATGTTTACAAAAGCGAAGCACCCAGGCACGCGGAAAGAAAAATCTTTTATTATTTTAGCTCCGTGAAGCTTTTTCGTCTATGCTTAGCTATACAACCCATAGTATGGCAAACGTGTCCTTGAAAGAAATGTGATTTTGCTTCCGTGAAGCCAGAGTCCAAACAAAACCAGTGGAACCGGAACCGTACAGAGATAAAAAGGAGAGCCGCGCAGAGCAGCGAAGTTGCAGCGAGGATTGCCAGTTGCACTCAAGCACTGCCGCCTTTTCAGCTGCAAATGCTCCACAATCGCAAGCAGAAGTTCGACGTTTGCTAAAATCTGTACTTTGCACCAAGGAATCATTTTCAGCTTGTCAAAGATTGACAAAGATGGTTGACATGTCCTGCGCAAACCGTATTAGCACGCAAAAGTCAAACAAAAAAGAGTGCTATCAAACAAGATATAGGAAGCAGTAATCAGAAAGCAGCCGACGCAGTCTTTCAAATTTCGCAATTGGAGAGCACTTGGCGAGAGGAAAAACAAACTTCAGTTGTAGATTGCTCCCAACAGCATATCCTGACCTTGAATATTTTTTTTTTCTCGTTTGCTCTTTTTTTGTTTGTGGTTCTCTGCATTCTCTACGGTCGCTTTTTTAATGCGAAAGCATTAACTGGGGGGGGGGTCTCATGGAGCGAGCTGACGTCATCAGTTTGAAGTGCGAAAACAGATCCTAGTTTCCTCGATCGCCTTCGGTTCCATTGGCTGGCGTGCGTCGACAAAGCTCCCATTGGCCGCTGCGCCATGGCCTCCGAGGTCCGGAAGCGCGCGCGTGCTAGTGCGCAGCAGACGACAAAGGGAGCGGACGAGCAGCTTGCAAGCTTTCGCATTCACAACTCATAAGAAATGCTCAGGTGTATTTGTATAAATATTGCAAAGAGCAAACTTACCTAAGGAAAAAGTAAACAAAGAAACAGGCCTAAAGGAGCCCTGAAATCCTATTTAAGCGTCCACCTTTTTGCGGTTTCCACGGCTCCTGGGGTTTGGGCAAGCCAGCAGGCTCGGAGAAAGTAACTAAATATCAGTGCGTCATAATTTAACCGGACGACGCGGAAACCTCGTCCACCTACGGGGGCGACCTGCGGTGCCGAAAGTGCGCGAAAGGTGATATCTTAGGTCCTGGGCTTACTACTGGTCAGAGCCGCTAAAAGCTTTTTTGTCGAAGTACAAAACATAAGTGGCACTAACCGTTTCAATTATTTATAAAAGTATTTTTTGTTCACTATTTTATATAAAAAAAGAAACTAATGCAGTTAATAAAGTATGGAAACAAAAAATGACCCGTCGACATACCCGCCACCAAGCGGTGGAAAAGTTGTTAAAGTGCCAGCTGAACGTTTTAAGGACACACACACAGAGACAAACAAAAAAGGCAAATGCACCGCTGGACTAGCAACTATTTTAATGAAATCTTTCTCTTTAGTGTACAGCTACACAGATTCTTCCTCTTCTTCTATATCTGAACCGTCGTCTTCCACTCTTCCTCTTCTTTCATGTGCCTGTCAAGTGTGCGGCTCTTCGCAGGTATACCATTTCCTTCTGGTGCAGCGAGATTGATAGTGCACTCACGCAATGATCCCCCTTCGCGTCAATAGCAAGGGCCTTGAGAATTTCTCGAGCAACCCTCGTGCAATTTTTTGCCAGGATGTCAATGTTGGCAAGGTTTGGTGCACATGTGCACACCCGACAATGGGTCGCGAGGTGCCCTGCTGCTGTGGTGGCCTTCACTGACGCTGCGTGCTCTCTTATTCTCTCATTAATGCACCTTCCCGTCTGACCAATGTAGCATTTGCCACATGACAAAGGAATCTGGTACACGACTTCTTCTGTGCATTTGGTGTATCTGGTCTTGTGAGATGTGCTGCAACCTGTCTCTTCGTTGTTGTCCTCCCTGTTCACCTTCCGGCACATAGAGTATGCCTTATTAGGCGCAGAGCATATGACCTGTACGCCTTGTGGGCCAGCAATCTTTTTTAGTCGATGGGTGAGCCCGTGGATATAAGGGGCGACCACATAGGGTGTTCGAGGCTTCTTTGTTGTAATTGTTCCATGTCCTTCAGGTTGGCGCTTGATCTTTGCACATATGTTTTCACAAATCGAAACAAGAAGTGTCCTAGGGTAGCCCGCATCTTGGAGCCTAGAGATTTGTGTCACAAAACTTCTCCGTACCTGATGCTCACATGACCTCTTAAAGGGCAACTCCGCTTCATTTTTGGTTTTGAAAAAACAATGCGGTCCTCTTCAGTATCGCCTAGGAAGACCACACGTCAAATATTACGACGCAGTTCTGTCTAAATGTTTTTTAAACGGTCCGGCAAACTTTGCAACTGGCCAAGTTGCCGAAATCGGCTGACTCGAGCGGGCGAATTCAGGCGCAACCAACAGCGCAGTCAAGGCTACGGCATGGGCGGAGCCAACATTGAGCTAAACGCCATCATCATGGCCCCCTTTTGCATGTTTTTACTTCTCCGATCGAGCGTAGCGCATGACGTCAGCAACGCTGCCTCTCGGCGCTCAGCGGTGTCCACATGATTGGCGTACGCGCCTGCGCAGCACGCTTCTTGGGAGCAGACCAACCGCCCGCCGTGGTCCCGCCGTTACCGCCGTCTTCCGCGTCACAACCACCGTCGTCGTCTCACCGTTTGTGATTATTTTCCTCTCTGAGTTTTGTCCACACTATGGACGCCACGTGCGCAGAGTCGCAGACTTATGCCGCAGTTGTGCAGACGTCGTCGAATGCCGTAGACACCAAAACGTGGTGAAGAGTGCGATGCAGACGGCACTCGCGCCTGCCGCACGCCCGCCCCCATCCCGCCCGTCGTTGGGCCGAGGATCACGTGACATCTTGTACCACGTGATGGCCATGTACTTGGCGGCCCGAGGCCAATGTTGCCGGACGGAGCCGAAGTTTCGGTTTCGATTTCCGCTCGTGTTTAAAATTAGATTTAAAAATATATATCCCATTTTTCGCGAAGCAAACGACGTAGTGTCTTTTACTAGGGCTTTTTAATTCGAAATCACACATTATCCCGAAATCTTCGGAATTGAGCGGAGTTGCCCTTTAAGGGCGGAATTGAGCGCTGTGGTTGCAACTGCTCTTTCCACATTTTTGGTATGTTCGGAGCTAAAAGGAAGAAACCCTTTGCAAGATCGTGCCTGATATCTCCAGCATACATGTCTATTCCTAAACTCTAAGGAGAGATCCAGGAATTTTATGCAGTTGTAAACGGGGAGCTCGTGGGTGAAGGTAAGATCGGCGCAGCTTTGATCGAAACACGTCATGACTGCTTCTTTACATCCGTTGGTTGTTCCATGAACCTGAGTGTTGCACAAGATTAAAAAATCGTCCACATACCTAAAAATAGCCTCTACTCGGGGATCTTTTAAGTTGTCTTGGATAGCAGAGCCGCATGCGGCGAGGTAGATGTCACAAAGGTAGGGAGCTACCCGGGATCCTATGCAGATACTGCTTTGTTGTACGTACTGCTTGTTTTGATCTACTACTGCCGTCGCCTTCAGGTAGATGGTTAGAAGCTCTAAGAAACTATCCAAGTTGATGCCGGCCGCGTTTTGAAATGATGAAGTGCCCTGCTCCTCGATGGAGTTTCGGAGGATCTTCAGGAGGCTTGTATGTGGGATTGAATAATACATATTTTCAATGTCGATGGAAAACCCAGAAGTAATGTGGCACCCTTTCTCTTGGAGAAAAGCAATCACACCTCCAGAGTTGAGGATCTTGAATGGGTCCTGTGGTTGAACGTTGGACAGATGTTTAGCCAGGAAAGACGACACATGGACTTGCCAGGTGTTTCTTTCTAGTACGATGGCGCGAAACGGCACACCTTCCTTGTGCGTTTTAGGAAAAGGCGGCGCATACTAGGAAGGTGTACTGGGATCAGGCGCCAACGAGCGGCGAGTGTAGAAAGGTCCCGGATGTACGCGGCGGCGCTGCGGTCGTACAGACTGGAGGGTCTGACCGGTTCCGAGCGGTCCCAAGGCCTTCGGCGAGGAGCTTTACCTTGCAATTTGGCCTCTCGGCGGTATGGCAGCGCGAAGTGGCTCCCGTTTTGAACTGATCTTTACCCCATGTCTGCTGTCGTTTGTGGCCAATGAAGTGTCATGCCAAATTAGTGTTTAGTCGCGCAGCAAATGCAGTGCGAGCCGCCCTGGTTGCCCGCTTCATACAGCCTAGCCAGAACACGCTTTAGTGGCGCCCTCTCGAACCGTCGATACGGAGTGCGGCAGCTGTGAGCGCTCGCCGAGCTCACTACCCCTCGTCTAGTTCATGGCCACTCAAGCAACCAAGGATGTCATGAAGGAGGTTATTTTTTGCTTGTTTTTGTAATTTTAATTTGTCTATAACTTTTAAAAGAAAGCAAAATTTTAGAAAAGAAAAGTTTAATTAAGTTACTACGTTCAGTGCGCTCAGGTTCGGTGCAAATTAAAAACCAGTAAAAAAGTCCTTGCAGGGCCCCTTTAACTTCTTTGGAAAAGCAGCGAAGTCACCGGTGTTCGAACACAAACAATAGGGCACCCTATTGATTGAAGACCGGTGGCTTTGCTGGGTTTCTATAAGAGTTAAGCCTTTTTCTTTCTTTACTTTTTCCTCAGGTAAGTTTGCTCTTTGCAAATTTTATAGAAAAAATGCAGCACCTGTGGACAACGCTGCACAAAATCGTAGTGCGATAGGTTAAGAAAACGGATTTCGCAGTCGATTTAAACAGCCTGGCCACTCCTTGACACACCCAATAGTTTCGACAAATTTGAGGGAAGCGGAGATGTGATCTCGGCTGTAGGAATGCTCGTGCAGTGAGAACACCACTCATAACTTCTCGCTCGGTTGAGCAATGACCAGCTCGCCTGCGCTTTTGCTCTCCTTTTGCTAATGTGCACTTTACTTGCGCAAAGGCTGTGCACCTGCCACGCTCGTAGCCCTTGCCGGCAATAGAAGTGGTCTCTGAGCTGGGAACATTGTCAGAAGAATGGTTGCTCCCTCTCTTCCTCTCGAGGACGGCGGGGAATGGCAGCTGGAGGCCGGTGCCCTGGTGCTGGCGGACGGCGGCGTCTGCTGCATCGACGAGTTCAACGGCATCCGGGAGCACGACCGGGGAAGCATCCACGAGGCCATGGAGCAGCAGACCATCAGCGTAGCCAAGGCAAGCACCGTCTGCGACAGACAGTCGGCCACGCTCGTCCGAGCGGAGCACGTCACCGGGGCCGCATCGTGTCTGTGTCCGCCCTAGAAAGAATCGCAGCTACCGTATTTACCCGAAAATAGGTCGACCACGAAAATAGGTCGACCCCTATTTATTGAGCCCGCCGAGAATAAAAAAAATAATTCAAATAAAGGTCAACCTTTCTTTCTTTTTTTTTTTTTTTTTAAGGAACAGGGGAAAGTTAGGGCAAAAGAGACAAACCTTTATTTACAGCACTCTCAGCTAAATCACAGGGCGATGTCAAAAAAGCTTCATCAGCTTGGTAGACATCCTCGCAAATTGGCAACAATACCTCACTGACACCGTTGTAAAATGAATGACGACAAGAAGAAACGAAAGAAAGTGGAGACGGGCGAGCGACGAAAGACCAAATACAAAGACACGAGCAACGCTGCCAGCCCCGTGAGCAACACACGACCCACCAAAAAAACAAACTAAAATACCTCCGTTTTTTTTTTTTTTTTTTGCGTGTTTGCGAGGGAGAGAGGAATGGAGCGCATAGGAGGGCAAAGTGCAAAGTGCATGGTGCATCGCGTTCCTCTCCCTCCCCTTCCCCTTGCCCAGCGAGGGGAACGCTACAGGCGTGATGGCGAAACTCGACGCCCGAGGATTGTGTGCGAGAGCCGTAGCGGACACGGGCTGTCGGCTGCTGCTGTTCGGTTGTTTTTGTGCATCAAAAGCTTTTTGAAACAAGAAGCCGCGCGGCTCTACAGCAACGCCGGCTAGGTGATTGATAGCTCCATACCCTCGGTAGGGTTTCAAATTTTGGTTGCGAATTAGGTCGAAATTCTTTGGTCACAATTATAGGTCAACCCTTAATTTTTGACAACATTTCAGAAAAAAAAAAGGTCGACCTATATTCAAATAAATACATACATTTCGATTTGTCGATCAAATCGTGATATTCAGAATTGCATTGCTCGGGAAACGGTGGGTTATCGGGCATTTTTTTTTTTTATTGGCGCACTTAGACTAACTGCGTGGTGTCGAGGTGTCGGGTCGTGGTGTCGCATGGCACAGTGACAACTGATGTCCGTTACACCCAGACTTGACAGCCAAAGTTGCTAGATCAAATATTATTGTTGACACTTAGATCACGTGACGACATGGCTTGGCACTGGGAATCGTGTGATACCACGACGACTCGTGACCTACAGACAAACACAGTATCTGTGTTAGCTTCCTTTAAAATGCGGTAGAGATGCCGCAGTTTTTTTTTCGAACCCAAGGTTCAGATTTAATTGGGTGGAACACTACCTTAAAATTGCAATCTTTGAGAAAAAAATGATTTTTAAAATTTTTATGTATTGTGGTTTTGCAACTAATAGTGCACACTCCTGTAAATTTTTATTGATTGTGGAGGAATAAAACATTTACGATGAGCCGACGAGGCAAAATCTTGCATTTTGCAAGTGTGAAGCATCAACGTTTTTTTAGTTTCTAACTGCTGTAGCTCCACACCGGTACGCCCCAGAAGGAAGATTATACTCGTTGGGAAGAGAACATCGTTTGAGAGTAAACACTGTTTGTGCAAGAACACCTTGGAAGTCCAGCTTTCACGTGGAAGAGGCTATGAACACGGACAAGAATTGGAAAGCCCGCCTTGATTGAACAGAAAACTGGAACTAAAACCGACATTTATTTATAGAAAGTCACATTGCAAGTACATCCTATTCCTCACTCGTTTACAATCAATGTCCACATGCCGACAACACAAGGACACTCGAAGCAAGCGTTCAAAGCTCGGACTCACTCAGCAAAGCCATGCAGAAGACTGGATGTGAGCAGAAGGCAGCACCTATGCTCTTGGTGCCTTTTAGTCGCTACCACCACCAGGAAAATCAAATGTAGTGGTGGGAAAACTTCAAATAGGTTTTTCTCAGTTCCACTTTTTGTGCAGCAGGTTTCATTTGAGGAAATTTATCATTTCATTAAACTGCCAAATTTATTCTTCATTGTGGATGTCTCTGAATTGAAATTGTAATGTGCGATGTGGCTAGATATTTAGGGGTTTGTTGAGATGATTCAGGGGCTCAGAAACGTCCACTGTACGTTCTCATGACCTCGCAGCGTTTCAAAGAATTCCCCGCAGGGGGCACCTGTGGAAGCAGGTGTTTGGAGAGTGGCGTCTCCACGGACCCCGAGCCATGCGGGTTCGCCCGCCCACGTATGGCTGTGCGTGGCTTTCCCGTGTCCGGGGAAAAGGGCATCGTGGTGGTTGAGCCGAGCCCGGGGTAGGTTTGGACCCTTCGGGGCCCCCCGGGTGAGGCAATACACCACTTCGGCCCCCGCCTCTCGTAGACGGGAGTCCTGGTAAGGCCCGGCCAGGATGATTCAGTCTAGTCGCCACTTCTACTATCCCCTCTCTACTTTCACCCTTGTCTTCTCCTTCTTTTCACTCTTCTCATTTCTCTTCTTTCCTTTTCAACTCCTTTGGCGGCAAGGGCTAACCTTGGGTGGCGACAGACACCTTGTCCAAAACCACTCTTGGTTATAGAGACTGGGCAGCACTAATAGCGTAACGTCTTCAGCCAAGCCCATCTTGTTATGGAGCGTTACTTATTCCCTTGTTGGGCTCGGTGGTGGGCGGTGCACCACAGTTTCCGAAAACCCTCCCCCTTCATATGGGTTCCAAACTTAAACCTTTTGATCGGCCCCCCAAAAGGGGCCGCACCGAAGCACTGAACACGAAACAATCTTTTGTTCTGGAAAAATTCCCGAAGTTCCTTGTTATGCACTCGGAAGGTGACAAGCCACTTGGCAAACTTTCTCCCTTTCTAGTCTCCAAAGTTCTTGAGGGTGTTATTGGCGCCAGTTACAATGCAAAGAAGATGGGATCTGATGATCTCCTTGTCGAGGTCAACACAAAGCAGCAAAGTGATGCCCTCCTTAAACTGAACCTTGTCTCTGACTACAAAGTAAGCGTCAGTCCTCACCCCAAACTGAACAGTGTTCAAGGGGTCATTTCTGAGGATGACTTGCTTGACTCACCTGAGCCAGAGATAATTGAGGGCCTCTCTAGTCAAGGAGTTATAGATGCACGACGAATCACTATCCGCCGTGATGGTGTGGAACGGAAGACAAAACATATAATTTTGACTTTCGATTCAACCACTCTGCCGCAGTCTGTAAAGGCAGGTTACCTTCAATGCCGGGTCCGACCTTATGTGCCGAACCCTCAACGGTGCTTTAAGTGCCAGAGGTTCGGCCATGGGTCACGGAACTGTCGTGGAAGGGACACCTGTGCAAAGTGCTCCAGCAAGGAACACGTTGCAGATGTGTGCGATAATGAGCCTCATTGTGCGAACTGTAGTGGCAACCACCCGGCATACTCTCGATCTTGCCCTGTGTGGAAAGACGAGAAAGAAGTTCTTACATTAAAAGTTACTGAAAACATTACCTACACTGAGGCAAAGAAGCGTTTTGCATTTGTATCGAAAGGGTCTTATGCCGAGGCCGTGCGCAGGGGACCAGCGCGGCCAGTAGTTTCGATGGGAACGCAGACGTCTCCGGACGACCTGCATCTCCCGTCACGGTCCCCCTCTAAACCCCCGAGAGCGGCGCCAGTGGCACCGCCTCCGAACCGCAAGGTGAATGCTGCTTTGCCAGCATCCGTCCCAGAACAGGAGATGTCGTCTCCTGCTCAACCGGCTGCTTCGACCTCTCGGGGTCGGGGCCTACTTCCCCACACCTCTGCTCCTCAGAGGAAGCCTGGGGAGGTGCCAAAGCAGTCGACCTCCAAGGGCCAGCTGCCAGCAACTGCAGACGAGCCCATGGACGAGGGTGGGTCGAGATCTGATGAGGAGGCTCTCCTCTCAAGATCAGAGTCCACCCCCTCTGCCTCCGGTGACTCTAATCGGAGGCAGAATAACCCCCCTAAAAAACAAAGTGCACCGCGTGTAAAAATAGATTTTAAACCGTAAGGAATATAGCTTTTTAATATAATTTGTATGTTATACTTGTTTTGTTTTAAATGGTTAAAAATATAGGTATAATGCAGTGGAACTGCCGCGGTCTTTTTCGTAATATTGATGATGTCAACTTTTTTCTCGATGAGCTCCAGCCTGTTGCCATCTGTTTACAGGAGACTCATCTTAATGAAACACATACACAGGTACTACGGCGACATCAGGTGTTTAGAAAAGACCGTGTGTCTTGTAACACCTCTTCTGGTGGAGTAGCTGTGGTTGTGCAGAGTGGTATTGCCTGTGCACCTGTCCCTCTCGCAACCCCCTTAGAGGCAGTAGCAGTTCGTGTTCTGCTTGACCGCCTAATTACTATTGTTTCGCTTTACCTTCCACCAAACTTTCCAGTGCATTTACATGACCTGCAAGGGCTTGTGGGCCAACTGCCACAGCCTTTTTTAATCTTAGGAGATTTTAATGCACACCACCCCATGTGGGGCAGTGCTCGTCAAGACTCTCGTGGCGGTGTCATAGAACGTTTTTTACTGTCATCTGGCCTTTGCCTTTTAAACAAGAGACAACCAACTTTTTTTAGTGCACCTCATAATACTTTTACTTCCATTGATCTTTCCATATCATCACCTACTTTACTTCCTTGTTTTTTTTGGAAGGTTTTAGAAAATCCTTTCGGTAGTGACCATTTTCCTGTAATTTTAGAAAGTTCAGTATTCCTTCCTTCTCTTCGAGCTTGTGCTCCCAAGTGGAAGTTAGATAAAGCCGACTGGGCTTTATTTTCTCTGGAGGCAGTGGTTGATCCCGCTGTTTTTTTAGCTATGTCTCCTGAGGAAGCGACTCTTTATCTTACCGAAAAAATTATAAATGCTGCTTCTCTGTCAGTTCCCCGAACTTCTGGAAATATTCCCAAGAAATGCAAGCCTTGGTGGAACAAGGATTGTACAACCACCATAAAAGCTCAGGATAAGGCTTGGGGAAGGTTTCGGCGGTACCCGACTGTTCAGAACAAGATCAAATTCA